TGCAGTTGTGCATGGTAGCCAATCAGCTTCTAACTTCAGCTTGTGCAAATAAGCTTTGACAATAAAACCTGGAAGCTGATTGGTTTCTATGCAGAGCTGCACCAGATATTGTGCCATGCAGTTTTAATAAATAATCTCCGTAGGCTTTGACTGAGGTGTGCTCAAGGGCTTAAACTCCCTAAGAGGGGCAGAGGTGGCAATAAAAACCTGACAGGTGTTTTGATGCCTCTCTATTCTATCCAAAACTAAAAAAAAAAGTTTTGCCTTTAGTTATACTTTAAATTCAAGCTAGTTACCATAGAAGACTCTAATGTGATACCAGTGAGCACAGCCCCCTTAAGAGTTGCAAGAGATTTCGGATCCCCCTATAGTGCTGCACAGCCAGGCAACACGCATTTCCACATAAGCTTGCATCCAAAGTCAGAGATCAGTCCTTGAGCTTTTTTGTTATTTTTATAACAAAACTGGGAACTGTGATAGGGTTAGGGGTGGACAGGATGCTCAATGGAACCGATGAACTGGGGACAACTTTCTGGAATTATTTACAAACCTCCACTGCAACACAGTCTCTGTTGGAGAGCTTGCCAGCATCCCCTAATGTACAACCCCAGACCCTAGATGATCTCCTCTTCCTTCACCCAGCAATCTGGAGGTATCCCTGAACAGGGGATCTGGTGCCTGTCGCATTAAAAAATGGACAGTCCCGGGCAGGTGCTGAATCTGGTTTGCCACTAGAGTGCTCCTTTCCCTATCCACCCAGGGGGTGCAGGAGTACTCACTCAGATCCGCTGATGGGTTGGTGGCTGCTATCAAGCCCACTAGCTGGGCCGCACCTTTCCTGCTGTACAGGTGGTCCTTGCTCTGGGGGTCAGTGAAGCTCTGAGCTTTCCTCCTTCCAAGCTCCCGGCCTGCAGGTAGGGCCCATCCCACCAGGTCTCCTCACAGCCTCCTACATCTCCAACCTCTCACTCTACCTTCTAACCGAACTCTCCCTCCTCCACCTCCTAACACTTTTAAGGGTTGTCCTGGACCCTTGCCAAGCCTCCTGTTGGGGGATTGGCCAAGATCCCTTAAGAGTACAAACCAGCCACTCTTCAGATCCACCCACTGCTTCTTGACCTTCCTCCAAAGCTCTAGAGCTGGGGGAATTCCAGAGAGCTGGTCTGCAGAGCATCTCAGCTCCTGACCCAAATTTAACCTTCTGACTAAGGCACATGGGCTGCTACTCAGCTCCTGATTGTCAATCAGGTTTCTAGTTCCCACTAGTTAACTAGGAGGGTGCTACACCAGCAATGACTAACTATTAATATTCTCCTGTAACACTGAAATAATGGTGAATAGGCCAATCCTTTTACAATGTACAAGAATGCAATTGATGGTAAAAAACAAAAAATCTAATCTATTGTTTTGTATTTCACATGAGGATACATCTATTCTAGGATATAAATGCATACGGCGTATACAGAGAACTAATGTAGTAAGCAGAAAGATGAAATTGCAATATTTTGTGATGATACATTTTACTCTATGAAATCTACAATGCAATAAATTCTGAACTGTTACAAACATTTAAATAAGAGGAACAGAAGAATATCAATCTTAGGGCTTTATTACATGGAGCCCCTCCACTCTATTCAGGAGGGAATCCATGAGTGTGCCCCATGTTGAATTGGAGCTGAACAGGACTGATGCCACTTATTTGACATCCATGTCCATTCAGTTTGTGCCTGGCAGACAGGATGATAGCTCTATAGGCAGCCAGAATGTAAATGGAGTTGTGTCTATTTACATCAGGCGACCTCTGCTCCATCATGTTTTGGTCTGGAAAAATGGTCCATTTCCATTTCTTTTTTTTGAGCTGGGACGGACTTGGAGGTAGGCAGGTGTAAACTTACACAAGTCCAATTACATCAGCCTGCCCATAGAGCTGCATGAAGCTTCCAATCAGGTCTGCCTGAAAAACAGATGGATCTGATTGGAAAGCCTGTGTGAAAAGACCATGAAAAGATAAGTTCACCTTTAAAAAAAAAATATTGAAATGAACATCTTTTTGCAGGTAAAAAAAAATGTGCATTTACAATTTTTTTTGTACTAGGAGCCTAGAAAGCATTGCTGATTGAGGGTGCCATACAGAACTCCTGCAGACTTGTCAGTGTATCTGTCTGCTCGTACCTCATGTGGGCAAGCAGATACACCCTGAAAATGAACTACCGCAGAGCTCAACAGCGCCGTGGCAGTTCATTGAGAACTACAAGCTGACAGCTGCAAAGGTTGTCAGTGCTTGTAGTTTTTCATTCACAGAACTCTGTGAATGAATGACTCGGCTGAGCGGGAGCCAGCTAGCTGTCACTAGATGCAGCGGAGCGGGCAGTGGCCACCAGGAGTGGGAACATGTGACATGTTCCACCCTAAAAACGGGTGGAATATGTAAATTTTCCCAAAGGTGAACCTATCCTTTAAGCTGGCCATACATGGATCAAAAATCGGCCAGTTCAACAAGGACCAGCCAAATTTCAATCCATGGGTGGGCACTATGGTTGTACATAAGTCGATCTACTGATCAACTTCTGTACAACTGCCCTGTTAGGTTTCCTTGCTCGATCAGCACCGCAGGCCATAGCCAGCAATACTAATCAGTGTATCCTGATAACAGGGAAGTTTCCCTGCTGTCAGAATACAATAGCTCAGCAGGGTTAATCTCCCTGACCACATATTCGACGTGAACCCATTGATTGACCAAACAAAATGTATGGGCTGCCTTATAGTAGTAATCAATTACATAGGAAAGGATGGCTTATCCTGAAAAAACAAATGTCCATCAAATTATAGGTAAAGTTTGAGACAACACAGCAAAGAACTTTTTATTTTGTTTTGAGAATTTCAGTAGCTCTCTTGAGAAGAGGATGGGTGACATCATGGGACCAGCCCAGAGACACTTGGAAAAGAAAAAATACAATAGGGTTCTTCAGAAGACCCTGCTCGTGAAAGGGTAGACCAAGTGATACAAAAGGCAATAATTGTGAGGGATGCGCTGATGGAGAAAGTATGGGTGGAGTTTATTATGTGACGGTTGGACCTTCCTGAAGAGATTAGTTTTCTGGGATTGCTTAAAAGCAGAGTAGGAAATAGCCAATTAAATTGGGGTAGGAAATTTCAGTGGATGAGAGAGGCTCTGGAGAAGTCCTGGAGGCAAGCATGGTAATAGGTAAGAAAGGAACTAGCGAGTGTGAGGTCTTGAGAGGAGCGAAGAGGATGGTTTGTTGATATTTATGGGAAGACGTTAGTGATGTAGCTTGGAGCAGAGTTGTGGATAACTTTGTATGTTGTTGTTAGTATTATGAATTTTATACAATAGGTGAGCGAACCAGTGGAAGAATTGTCCAGTGGAAGAATTGTCCAGTGGAAGAATTGTCAGAGAGGACTGGCAGACAAGATGGGCCTTAGAATGTTCATACTGGTTGGGTCCAGCTAGGGATTTTTAAGTATAGTATTTACCAGTGCATGTTTTAGAGGGTTGCTCACAGAGAGAGCAGTTGTGTGAGTCTTGTCCATTGGTTTTAGTGACGAGTTCTCCTTTTAGCTTTTTCTGCCTTTCATTATCAAAGAACATCTGTGTGACACCCAGCACACATATATTATCTGCTGATAGGTTACCTACAGCTATAGCATGTACAATGGTTACATTTCATGTATGTTATAAATGACCTATGATACAAAGTACAGAAAGAGAACCCACGTAGTGGTGAATTGCTTGTGAATATTTTCCTCCCCTGTCTTTCAGTATCCAAATTGTCAGAAAATTACATCCTAAGTACATTTCTCTCTGCTATGGAACCCACACAGGTAGTTTGCTCTTTAACACCTTTTCATTGTGTGACTAATCCATTGCCATTTGCTTGCCTTTTTTCAGAACAACTTCCAGAATCAGTTCCTTTTTAAGTAAATATTAATGAACCGCTGTAAGTGATGGATGAGTTCCTTAAGGGTAACCTCACATTGAGCAGCTGAACTTTTACCTCAGTTTTGATACATTTTCTGAAAGTGCACCAAAAGTCCAGGAAAAGGAAGAGGGGAGCCGAGTAGTCATATAGTGCAGTAAATCCAGTTTATTGTAAACACATATAAAAACAACAGTATATGAACTTACATGCTTGGGTGAGTTCCGACCATGAAATTGACAGTCAGTGTCTGAGCCATGGATGGATGGATGGATGGATGGATTGGCTGGATCAGCATAACCACTGCACAGGGGGAGGCTTCTCCATTACAAGTAAGCGGTAACACCGCCAATGCGTGTGGAAAAATGTAGGCTTTGAGCGACAGAAACTCAGCATGGAGTAGCAGCCAGACACTCTTCCTACATGCAAGGAATGTTTGGATACATGTTTCTGGAGTCACCACGCTCCTTTCTTTAGTCTTCCTCAGCCACCACAACCAAGGACTGGTATGCTGCAGTATATCAAATTTTTGTTCCTGGATTTAGATATACTTTAAAAGCGATGTAAACCCCAAACCAAAAATGTAATGTATAAGTGCAGCTTACCAATCCTTAAATGTGGTGGCTGCATTTGTTTTCTCTTTTTTGTTTTTTTTTTTCCTTTGCTATCACCTGGTTATCTGATTAGGTTATCAAAAACCTTTTCTTTCATTTTTTTTGGATAAAGATTTTACATAAATGAATAAAAGCTGACAATTGCAAGCATCCCTAGCAGTGTTAAATTGTTTGTTTCAACCCTCTAGTTGGCACTTTTGCTGGACAGCTTGGTCTCTTAATGAATGCTGAAGAAAAAACAGACTTACACAAGGTGAAAATAGAGGCAAAAAGTCTAAACACAGCAAATTAATGCAGCCACCACATCTCAGAACTGGTAAGCTGCAATATATTACATTTTCTATATTGAGTTTAAATACCCTTTTAAGCAATGTTACAGCATTGTTTGAAATATACAGGATACAATTGAAGGGAGTGGAAAAAAGAGTGACATAAATACATGCACCAGGCCAAGGGCGGACTGACAACTCATGGGGCCCCCGGGCAATAGGGGATCATGGGGCCCCTGTGTCCTTGCCCAAACTCAAAAAAGCCTATAAAAAAGGTACCAGGGGCATCTCATGGGGCCCCCTACTGACCCCGGGCCCTCGGGCAGTGCCCGAGTTTCCAAATAGTCAGTCCACCCCTGCACCAGGCTTGTTTAAATTGGCGATGCAATGTGCAAAGTATATTACCCACAGCCACCCATCAGAGTTTACTGTAATCAGTTTAACGAACAAAACATTTGGATTGACTGCTATGGGGTAATACATTTTGCTCTTCATCTTCCCAAACAAGCTTAATGGTTTAAAAGTAAAAGTACATGAAAACTATGCTCGTAAACAGAGTAATAACCAATACAAGTAAGCTCCAATTGGGCACTTTTAACTATGTTCACAAATTGCAAAAGCATCCCAGCCTAAAGCTCATTGCAGTATAGCATCCATCAGGTACACTATTTGCTATGATACCTAGCCATTAGAAAGTGAGCATGCTTGGATCAGTTTGCACCATGCATATTACGATTTAAGGATTTCAAGTTTGTACAGCCAGCAAGATACTATCATGTAATAAAAAGCTAATGAACTCGAGAGAGAATCACAAATTTTCTTCTATAAAAGCATTAGCATTTTGAAGATGTGGTTCTGTTTAAGACACCAGTTCATAAAAAGACATGTCCTGGGGGTGGAAGGAGTAAAGAAATGGGCATGCATGTAAGATGTTACCTATATAGAAAACTATCTGAGTTAGATTTAAATTTCACGTCAACGTTCGTAGCTTCCCTGCATTAAAATGCATGTCATACACAGGTAAGCAAATTTCTGTTGAGTTCAATGGTGCAGTGTGGATGTTCTGAGGCTGCAATTTGGCCTGCTTGGCATTGCATTCCTTTGGACACAGCAGGTCCTATTGAGAAGCAACTGACTTGCAGGAAAAGCAGGTCAAATGGAATCTCTGCTGAGTTTTACATTTGTATGTACTGTATGCTTCTGAACAGTGCTATGTTTAAATGCAAAAGGCAGCATTTGACAAGTATGCCCCATCTGCATAAACTCTAAGACTAACCAATGTGTCACATCAAACTGCAGTGCAGCAAAACAATTCATTAATCTTTATGAATAGATACACTATATTGCCAAAAGTATTGGGACACCCCTCCAATTCATTGGATTCAGGTGTTCCAATCACCTTCATGGCCACAGGTGTATGAAATCAAGCAGCTAGGCATGCAGACTGCTTCTACAAACATTTGTGAGAGAATAAGTCGCTCTCAGGAGCTCAGTGAAGTCAATTGTGGTACTGTGATATATTGCCACCTGTGCAATAGGTTCATCCGTGAAATTTCCTTGCTACTAAATATTCCACAGTCAACTGTTGGTATTGTAACAAGGTTGAAGCAACTGGGAGCAACAGCAACTCAGCCATGTAAAATGATAGAGCGGGGTCAGCACATGCTGAAGTGCACATTGCGCATATGTCGCCAACTGTCTGCAGAGACAATAGCTAAAGACTTCCAAACTTCATGAGGTCTTCAGATTAGCACAACAGTGCGTAGAGAGCTTCATGGAATGGGTTTACATGGCCGAGCAGCTGCATCCAAGCCTTACATCACCAAGTGCAATGCTAAGTGTTGGATGCAGTGGTGTAAAGCACACCGCCACTGGACTCTAGAGCAGATGTGTTCTCTGGAGTGATGAATCATGCTTCTCTGTCTGGCAATCTGATGGATGTGCCTGGGTTTGGCGGTTGCCAGGAGAATGGTACTTGGCTGACTGCATTGTGCCAAGTGTAAAGTTTGGTGGAGGGGGGATTATGGTATGGGGTTGTTTTTCATGGGTTGGGTTTTGGCCCCTTAGTTCCAGTGAAGAGAACTCTTAAGGCGTCAGCATACCAAGACATTTTGGACAATTTCATGCTCTCAACTTTGTGGGAACAGTTTGGGGATGGTCCCTTCCTATCCAACATGACTGTGCACCAGTGCACAAAGCAAGGTCCATAAAGGCATGGATGAGTGAGTCTGAGGTGAAGGAACTTGACTAGCCTGCTCCTGACCTCAACCCGATAGAATACCTTTGGTATGAATTAGAGTGGAGACTGCGAGACAGGCCTTGTGATCCAACATCAGTGCCTGGCCTCACAAATGTGCTTCTGGAAGAATTGTCAAACATTCCCATAGGCACACTCCTAAACCTTGTGGACAGCCTATTCCGAAGGGTTGAAGCATTTATAGCTGCAAAGCGTTGGCCAACTAAATATTGAACCCTACGGACTAAGACTGGGATGCTATTACAGTTCATGTTCGTATAAAGGCAGACGTCCCAATACTTTTGGCAATATAGTGTATATGCCAGCGCTATATACCTTCCACTTCCACTGCCTTTATGGTACATGGCTGTGCAAAATTCCAGGTGCACGGTACCTGGAGTGCTACAGACACATCCTATCTGCTGCAACCAATCGGAGCAGCCTTCTCCCTGTCACAGGCTCACTAGTCAGGGTGACCTTCTCTCTGTCTCGGATGCACCATTCTGAGCAGTGTTTTCCCTTTGCTTGGTACATTTACATTCAGTGTAGCTTTCTGCAACACTTTTACAAGTTCACTGCTGTGCTGTGTCCGCTGCCTGCAATGACTTCTGGTATGCTTCCTGGTATCCATGTCCACAGCCTGCCTTCAATTGGTATTTCCTGGCTCACCACTCCATTTTGTTGTACCTGCAGTCCACTGTTCTGCTTCAGACCTAATTCTGGTTCCTTTCTGATTCATGTCTACTGTACTCCTTGATGCCTGGGGTTTGTGAGCTGCAGCCAGCACATAGCTAGGTCCAAAACACAGTTATGGGGTTCCTGGTGAATTCCTATTGGCCTTTAGGCTTGCCAAACATGTTACAGCCTAATTGTACAATCTATTTTGGATCTACCTGCAACTGTTTAGTGTAAGACCTGCCTGGCTGGATAAAAATTGATTGGATAGATGAGGTAGGTCCTCTTATTACATAGTTTTGGTAAATCTAAATTTGATTATACAAGGCGTGTACAGATTGTAATGTTTATGGTGATCCTTAGACTTAGCGCCTTGTGAGATCCCATGTCACCTTCTTTATGTGGGACCATGCTTGAACTCATTTGCAAATTCTTTCCCAGCTCACAGTTTTTTTTCTGTTCCAATGTAGGTTCTGTTCCAGCTCCCAGTCCTTATCTGTTGCAATGTTCCAGCATAGGTTCTATTCCAACTCTTAAGTCAGCCAAAGATTGTGCCTTATTCATTTATTTATTCAATAACATTTTTTGCAGTCCACCTTGACGCATGAAAAAGTGAACAAGTTCCTTTCTTTCCAAGGCACCACACCACAATGCACAGATGACATCTGTTCATCGTAGCCTGCTGCAACTCACTTGCGTTGAGGTACCCAGGCAGAATGAATGGCACATGAATGTATCAAAGATCATTCATTACTATGTGCTGCTGAAACATGCACAAATCATACCCTTTACTGTACGTTACCATATCTCACCAGGGTGAATGGCCCCCACTGCTTAGTAATAGCATTATTAATAATATTCAGAATAATTAATATTTTACAACATCATTTCCATCTTTGTCATCACAATCAGATGCACATATCTACATGGCTACAATGTCAGCAAATATAAATAAAAGATGAAGCAACCATGGTCAACCTATTTTATGTATTTGGGGGTTTATCCAGTGGAAGTCTAAACAAACCTTCAGATGGAGCTCCAGATTTAACCTCGAGGTCAATGAAATACTTCTTGACTCTAAATATAGATATCAGTCTTACTCCCAAGATCAGGTTTTTCACTAATGGATTCTATTTATAGATGCAGATACCATTTCTTGTAAGAAATGGCATTGCATCCACTTGAACATTCACTTAATGAATTGATCATCATTCTTTCCCTTGGGAACATTCAATGTGATCTTGCAGATCTGAGACACGTAGCTCAGAAAGGTTATTATAGTAAACCCCTCACAGACATCAGGAATTCTTACTGAATATATGATGAAAATACAGTATGTATAAGCAAATGAATTTATGTGGAAATTTTGACTTTAAAAAAAGAAGAGCTTAGCTCTTCCACTTTCTAAGCCTCCCTATTGGTCAATAAGGTCACCCATAAAATTAAAGAACTAACAGTGAGGAACAAGAAGGCAGAAGGGGCAAGACCAGGCTTTGAAGCGCAACTTCAACTTTAAATTAAATATAAATACTACTTTCCTTAATGCCTGTACGCGGAGTAAAATATGAACCTCCTGGTGCAACACTCGCCCTCCCATTGGCACTGTCTGTGGGTGGGTGCAGCATTGTACGGCAGCAGTGAAGACACAGAGTCAGGTTGCAATAAACAAACCTTGTATTGAGAAGAAAGTTCAACAATACAAACAGCCCAGTGGGAAGGCTCCCACCTGGGAACACACACACAGTATATCTGGTCAAAGTAGAGCTGAGCAGTTCTTGAACGTGCCTACAGTGTCTGTCTCAGAATGCGGCCTGGCCAGTCTGCATTCAAGTGGGAGGATTCCAGAAAGGAAGGCATATCCCTAACCTGTCCCTACCTGTCAGGAACCTCTTCCTACCGCTCGTTACTTTCCCTGCCAGATGATTGATCTGTCTCTAAGCTATATACTGGCAAAAAATGCAGGAGACAGGGTCTTAAATAGATTCTGCCAGACCTAAGATGGCTGCCAGGATCATATTGATGGCCAGCAATCAACTTGGTCATTGCCCCTGTGACCCAGGAAACATGGAGGAACCATTTTCCTCTTGGCTTCCTCTCCTGTGATGCCACTACAGTTGAGCACCACCTGAAGTGGAGAAAAGAGACTGCACCTGCCTGCATGTTGCCTGCAGAGGCTTTGTTTTGTCCTAACTTGGCCTCTCTTCTTGAAGTTGAATGGCGTCCAGCCAATATCTCTGGATCTGCTGATTGTTTTTAGATGTGATTTTTCATTGGTGATCATTTCTGCTTATGCATGTTATCACCATATTCTCAGTTTGAAATTAAAAAATTGTGAAATTATATTTTAGCAAACTTTCACACTTATGAATGCATCCTGCCTGCGATTATATGAAGAAATCCAGCGGGGGTTCCCGCAGTAAGCAGCAAAGAAGCCCAACTGAAAGAAATGGGAGGCTGCTGGCTTTCACAGCGAATTGCGCACACTCCTGTAGTGACCACATGTGAATTATCAGGTCTGGATGCAGACAGCTTGCACCCCAGGCCGATCATTTGCATGTGATCTCTGCTTGAGAGATTATATGTGAGTGGGCGCGATTAGCTGCAGGAGCGAGCAGGCTCCCATTGCTTTCAAAGGGACTGCCTCTTGAGGCTAATTGTGGAAATCCCTGTTGGTCATATAATCATGGGTAGGTCCCATTCGCTGGTGTCAATGCACCCTTAAAGTGATATTAAAGTCTTATTTGTAAGCACTTTTGAAAGCTGATTTATTCACTTACTGAGTACAGAGTTCCTTTATCTTCTAGCCCTTGCCTATGATGTGGTTTAAGCTGGTGTCACAACTGCTGCCCCAGGTTTCCTGTTTTAAGGTTGCTCCTTGCTATTGCAGCATCCTGTGGAACCAACCGTGCATGCAAGGACTAGAGTTGTATCTCCCTACACTGTGTGCATCAATAGAAACCCAAAACCTTGGATGGCAAGGCTCCCCCCCCCCACTCTATACCCTCCTCACCCTCTCTTCTCCAACCTAACAGACTGACTTGGGACTGCACTGCCCACTATTAATGCTTTCCTATGAAGATCGGAAGTTCAGGGAAGCAAGACCAAGAAAGCAGGAGCCAGCAGCATTGAAAGTTGTAAATTATAGCCGCTGGGGTAAGAATTTTAATAAATAGTGTGCAGGGGAATGTTTATATTATTGTGTGTTAAGTTAAAAAAAAGCTGAGTGTTTAATACTACTTTAATTACATTCTCTGAACCACATAAACTGGTATAGGTAGATCTCTTAGATCATGTTGAACTGAGACAGCTAATGATCAAGTCACTGAGTAAGAGCGTAGAATGCATTTCTGACAAGAAATGGTATCTGTTTATAAATAGAACCCATTAGCATAGAAAATATATGACCATTTTTAATGATGATAATGTCCCTCCCTTGCAGCAAAAAATAAATTACTGATTTATTACATTTTGATGCTCATTATTCTGAATTCCTCCAGCATGGTTATGACCCCTTGTCCTTTTATTAAAGTATATTGTATGTAAACCCAATTACTAAAATATCATATACGCATTAACATGTTAATATCATTTCAAAAGTTGTTTTCAAATCTGCAGATTTTATTAAATGAATATAGGGTGACCCTTCCATGAAGGTCCTTGTTCAGACACTTCCTGTTAGTCTAGGTTCACACCTATGCGTTTTCCACTGTGTTTTGCAAAAACGCACAGCAGTCCATTTAACATGATTTCCTATGGGACAGGTTTACATCTCCGCGTTTTCACCGATGAGTTTTTTGGAAAGGGTCAGAGGGACTTTTTTAAACGCAAAATGTTGCGTTTTTGGTTCTATAGACTTCAATGGAAATGCTGCAGAATAGCATGTAGTGCGTTTTTTATGCGTTTTGTGATGCAGAAAGCACTGGAGAAACGGATCAAACACAAACTGCATAGGTGTGAACCTAGCCTTATAGGGTGACAAATGTGTCCAAATTTTGCACAAGCATTGTCATCCTATCACATGGACCCTGATGAAGTCTATAAGTGGTAATGGGCAATGATGTGCAGCAGACACTGCAACGAGTGCATGTAGACAGGAAGGAGTTGATTTACTGAAACTGAAGAGTGCAAAATCTGCTGCAGCTGTGCATGGCAACCAATCAGCTTCTAACTTCAGCTTGTCCAATTAAACTTTGACAAAAAAAAAAACCTGAAAGCTGATTGGTTTCTATGCAGAGTTTCACCAGATTTTGTACTCTGCAGTTTTAGTAAATTAACCTCTAAGTGTCTGAAAAAGACTGGAGCAGATCAGCAGCATGTAGATGCAAGTTAGGATAAACAAAATTGAACACAGGATTTTATAAAAATGGTACACAGTATTCTAGCAAACTAAACTTAGGGTTTAGATCTTCTTTAACCCTTTGACTCCCAACAACTTATGTGAATTGAAGGGGCAGTGGGAGGTTTTGCACACACTCCTGGCTGCTACACTCCACAAACCAACAGATAAAAGCAATCAGTAAAGATATTACTTTCTGTGTCTTCCATGCCCCTGGTGAAGAACATAGTTTGAAATGCGTTGGACTATTTTCACACAAGAATTTAGAAATCTCTTGTGTAACAGAAGTATTGGTAATTGTTGTGATATGGGAATATGGGGTGTTAGTGAAGCATATGGATATGACAGAAATATGTGCAAGCCAGTAACTTTATAACATACTGTTTCAATGGGAACAATAAATGATATGGATTTTAACTGGAATATATTGTAAATAAGGGAACATGCCTAAAAAGTCCCATTTTCTTACTGTGACAAACAATAAAGTAGCAAATAAAAAATGTTCAGTGAGTTTAAAGAGTATGAAAACCCAACATTTCATAGTCCGGATTTGTGCCTGCTGTACAATGTATTTGTAAGAAAAAGTATCCTGTTCTCTTTGTATTGCTTCCTTTGTGTGAAATACCTGGTGTTCCTGCCAGTCCCTCTGCTTTCCTATTAAAAACTGTCCGCACTAGGCATGAGAGCACAGCGTGGTCAGTTCTCTAGCTATTCTGGGACCTCAGTCTGCTCTCCTCCAAAGATCAGACTTGTCCTGACACTGCTCCCCTGCACAGCCTTTCACTGGGATGTTCCACTGCTGTATCCATTGACACATTTGGCCCCACCCCTGCTCCCTCCTAACTGGCTTTGATTGACTCCTGGTGCCCCAGCAAAGCCAGTGAGGAGAGAGAAGAGCTGCAGATGTGCACAGCACTGGATCGAATGAGGGCTCAGATAAGTAAAAATGGGGGGGGGGGGGGGGCAATACCAATACCCTAACATTATTTTACCTTAATGTGAGGAGTGCATTAGGGTAAAACATCTTTAGGCTTTAGAATCACTTTAATTACCACAAATTTCCTGATCTGCAAACTAAAATTAAATCTTTAAGAAACTGTCACTGCCATAGCCAGAGGTTCTTAACCACTTGCCTACCCGGTACTTATACCCCCTTCCTGTCATGAAATTGTTACCATTTTTTTTCACACAAATAGAGCTATCTTTTGGTGGTATTTAATCACCACTGGGGTTTTCTATTTTTTGCACTATAAACAAAAAGAGCAAAAAAATTTGAAAAAAAAAGTTTTTCTTTGTTTCTATTATAAAATTTTGCAATTTTCCTTCACTGATGTGCGTTGATGATAGGCAGCACTGATAGGCAGCACTGATGAGGTGGCACGGATAGGCAGCACTGATGGGCACTGATAGCCTGCGCCGTTGAGGTGGCACTGATGAGGCAGCACTGGTGGGCATTGATGAGGAGGCACTGATGATGCTGCATTGATATGTGGAAATGATGGTCACTGATAGGTGGCACTGATGGGCATTGATGGGCAAAACTGATGGGCAGTGCTGACTGATGGCCCGGACTGGTGGCACTGATGAGTACTGATGGGCACAACTGATGGGCATTGATGGGTAGCACTGCTGGGGGACACTGATGGGTGGCATTGCTGGGCACTGCTAGGCACTGGTGGGATGGACTGCTGGACACAGGCGAGTGGCACTAATGGGTGGCACTGCTGGGCAACACTGCATGGCACTGATCATCGGGGTACTGATCATCAGTGCCAATCTGCTCTGTGAAAGCTGTTGGTTATTGGCAGTACTTTACTCACACTGTGACAGCATGAGGAAAGTGCTGCCGATAACCGGCAACTGCATTTACTCTGTGATCTGCTGTGTCATTGGACACAGCTGATCACATGGGAAAAGGCTGCTGTGATTGCCCTTTTACCTCATCACATGATCAGTTCTATCCATAGGTCACATCGGTCATGGAGATCGCTGGCTGCGTGCCGCTGGGGGTGCGCCGGAGGGTGCATTCTGGGAGGACGTCATATGACGCCCTCCCAGAACTGGATAACAGCACTGTAGCCATCAATAGACTATAGCATGGCTAGCAAGTGGTTGAAATAGGGGTAGTTAGAACTGCCTGAATTTGGTGCACATACCGATAATGTTATTGAAACTGGCATAAATGCTTTCTGGAATAAGGAACAGGTAGTTCTAAAGGAAACGACTGTCAGAAATCTGTTGTTAAAGTGGTTCTAAAGCCTGAACACTTTTTGCCTTAATGCATTCCTTGCATTAAAAGAGAAGTTTGGGATTTTTGTTTTAATTTTAAAATGCTGCATCTTTCCACCGCTGGCTCTAACGGTGAGAACTGAGCGATCAGACACTGGTGATCGCTCAATTCTCCCTGCTGCTCTGAGCAGGAAGCGGCAATTGTCAGTCACCATTGTCTGCTCTGCCCACCCCCCCCAGAGCTCACTGGATCACTGGACTATGGAGGGGGCAGGAGCGGCTGGCTCAGGCTTTCAGCGGATTGCTGAGAGACTGATCCAGGTGCTGGTCCAGGCCCTGGGTGGATCCTGACCATGTAGTTAGGATGTTTCCCCAGCCTGGACCAGCTCTGTGATGTTAGCAAACAGCGAGCTTTAGCCCTCTGTCAGATGAAAAAGGATTACAGGAGTGCAGAACGAACGAACTACACTCCTGTGATTCATAAGAGAAGTACAGCCAAAAGAGCTTTTACTTTACTTCTCCTTTAAGGTAAAAAATGTTTAGGTAGCAGTATGCCCCCTTATGTTTACCTGAGCCCTCACTCCATCCAGCGCTGTACCCGTCTGTACTGGCTCTCTCCTTTCTCCTTGCTCTCACAGACTTGGATGAGAGAGGGGGGGGGGGGGCATTGACTCCTGCTGCTGTCAGTCAAATGCTGTAATGAGGAAGTGGGGGTGAGGCCAAGCCACGCTGTCTGTGTCTATGGACACTAACAGTGCGGTTCAGGGAGACCCAAAAAGAGGAGGATCGGGGCCTCTCTGTGCAGTTCCATTGCACAGAGCAGATAAGTATAAACCTGTTTGTTATTTACAACATTTAAAAAATGTATTAAAAAAACCTAGCATTTAAACACTTTAATTGATTTATAAAAATGTTCATAAACTCATATACTCTACTATATGATACTATAAAACGGGTTCCTCTCTTGCATCTCAGAAGGTTTGGTAGGTATGCCAAAAGCTGTGTGCCTACAGGCTACAGAAATAGAAATCTGGCCCTACACCCTGGTTGCATTTTTTTTTTTTTACTTTTTTCCTAAGCCCAGAGTCTCTGTATCAGCTCTCTCAAGATATATTGTAATATCCTAAGTGGCCAATCTCCTGCAGTCACCGAAACTCGCTGATTTCACATTCCGCTGTGCCTTACTGTTGGCTGTGAAATCAGAAAAAATGACAGAGCTAGAAGTTAGACTTAATGAGCCCACCCATGAAACTACTTTCCTGAGCTGTCACTGGGCTGGTGGCAGCTATACCAGAAAGAATACACCTTCAGTGCCAAGAGGGAAATCAGCTCCACTTGACAGCTAGAAATACTGCAAAGGAGGTTTAGATTATTAAAAACACCAGGGGCTTAAAGTGAGGTTTCATCACTTTGTGTCTGAGAGTTCAATATATTAAGTAGAATCATTTATTTTTTTCACATTTTTTTTTACGCATTAATTACATTTCTCTTTGATTGGTACATATTAAAGTGAGCCTGTCACCAACTTAAAAAATTGCAAATAAAAATCACAGTAAACCAAATATTTCATAAGTTTTCTTATATTTTCTCCTTTTTTTTAATTGCCTTGCAAAATGCTGTTGAACTTGCTAGAAAATCTGATTAGTACAGTAAGAGTCAGTTCCATAGCACAGCCCTCTCTTTCCTTGCACATCATAGTCCTCTCTACTTCTAGGAGTATCTAATTCAGGCTTTCTCAACCTTTTTATCATGGAGGAACCCTTGATATAACATCAATAAAACCCCACTAATAAGTATTATATTTACAGCTCACAGAACTTTAGTGTGATGGTCAGTGGGAATGCTCCTTCCAATGGTGGTCATAGGGAATAATCCCCCCTGTACAGACAGCTAAAAAGATCATTGGTGTCAGTGGTTACTCATCCGAGAAGCAGAAATCGCTTTTTGCTCATAGAACCCCTAGCAACCTCTGGAGGAACCCTAGGACTCCACAGAACCTGGTTGAGAAACCCTGATCTAATTACTGTCTGTGTTGAAGGTAGTTTTAGGCTGTAAGAGACAGCTTTGAGTTTGCTGAAGCCTCTGACATCACATCCAAGATAGCAGCACCCAGCAGCAGTCATATGGCTTTTGAATATCTACAGAAGACAGGCTTTTACAAATAACTGACTTGAATAAAATACACTCTGTTACTCTTTAGTAAATATACAGTCTTATGTTATGAATTTTAAATACAGAATACATAGAGTACATTGTTTGTATAGCTTGTAATTGTATAAGTACATAGTGGCAGGTCATAATTCCTCAATACATACATAGGCTCTGCTACCAGCTTTGCAGTGCCACAGAGTGGTTGTGTTTAACTGTTCCTTCTCACAATGTAAGTCCATAATTAGCCAAATAATTGAAAACAATGCCCTCCCTGTGTGGTTTGGAACTTATTTCAATATTTGTTAAAGTAGATGTAAAGCCACTAAACTTAGTCCAATGATGCAGCCTCAGCTAGCTCCCTTATTGGCTCTAACATCTCTGTCCAATCTTCTTCTGGGTTTGGCTTCTTCTACCATCTTGACAGCCCAGGATGACATAACTTCTGCACATGCACAAAGGAATTCATCTCAATACACAGGCATGCTGGAAATGAACACTGAGTTGCTCATTTGGCTGCATTGTGGTTGGGTTTACTGTTGCCATGTCCTCTGAAACACCTCATTGTCTCAGTCACTTCATGTTCATAATTTTTTTCCTAGCATCTCTTTGTCCATGCTCTCTTTCTTGATAAACTACTTCTGATGTCACTTACCATACTTTCAGGAAGGGCGTACCATTATGGAGAATGGTGCATTTGAGCAAATATCCACACATATGTGTACATGCGTGAGTGAGAATGCAATCCTGCTGACCAATTGGTATTAGAACGGAGGCAATTTCTTCACTGTTATCCAGCTTTATTGGTCTTTTTTTCTTTATAACTGTACTTATGTTGCACTGTTTGATTGAGAATGCAATCCTACTGCTTGCTGAATGCCTGCTTTTTTTGCCTTTTGTATTGTTGATGCGTTGCAACTGTGAGCCAAGAGCTTGGCTTGTGGTTGTGGCATGGCCCACTTGGACAGCTGAGTTTGACAGGCAGTGCTGCTTGTCAACGTGCCATGTCACATTGTGACTGTGACACAAAACATTGCGGCCGCTCCATGCGAACAGCTTTCTGTTGTTTAGTTTTTAGGAATCTGGGATGAGGGGGGTTCGTTAAAACCACAGCTCAGCTGCCTAGCTCTCCGACCGTCTATGTGAAACAGGCCTAAGAACAAAAGCAGATGCATTGTAGGGTGGTTATATTGCACCTATTCTTCCTGTACGAGCCACAGGATGTGTACCAACATACAGCATGCCTCTAGTCCCGTAGTCAACTTGCTGCTGACAGGTCCTCCATTCTGCCCTCCACAGCTTGAGTGACAGAGGCTCATGAAAAAAAAAATCTCCTGTAACCTCTGAGGGTGGCTAAAGCTGCCAATGTGACCAACAAACACATCTCAAAAATATTTATTTTATTTGATGAGATGGTTTAAAAAGATTAAAAGTTTGCAATCATATGTTAACAATCTTTTGACGGATACCAGGTGGAGGTTGGAAGGTGTACAGGACCAAGAAATTAAACATAAATCATGGCCTTTCAACTACTGCCATGATCAGCTGTCAGTTTACCCACAGCAGTTGTCCACAGCACTAAACACAAATGGATAAGGTAATCATTATAGACTATAGTTCAAATCCAAGAGGAATCAAAGGTTCTGATTACAACAGTTAAGAGCAAGTTGGACTATGCTAAACGGTAAGTATGCTGGTAACTATTATCTTTTACATTTTATGCTCAAGACTAAAAAATTAAAAAAAAAATCTATTTTATTTCCTTTTTTGCTCAGGTAGATAAGAAATATTGCATATAATTATTTTATACTTTCATATCCAATCAGTAGCTATAGCTCTCGTCTTTATCATCTGTATTTTCTTGCCTGAAATGGAGGATTTGGACCTTTTATTCATCTGCCTGTCCTCCATTCACAGAGCACTGTTCATTGATGGAAGCTATAGTACAGTTTCTACGAATAGAGGACTCTTGATGAGTGCCTATGACAGATCCAGCGGCTCGTATTAACCCCTGCAACACTAGAAGATTACCACTGCATGGCTATGGAGAAGGGCCGAGGATAATAATTTTCCACTAAGGGAGTAGACATTAGTACAGGGACTTCTCATTCATAGCAAATACTTACAAAAAAATAAAAACAATTAAAAATTTCCATACTTATACTTTAAAGGAAACCTGTAGTCAGAGAAATACAGGACTGTTATTGCTGACCTCTATATAAGAATACTAATCACCTGAAGGTCTCTGTGTCTGGGGACAGGTTAGATGCAGATTAGAAAACTGGAGTGAAATCAGAACTCTTAAACTGTAAAATGAATGAAACCAGGTAAGAGCCAGGTAATTAGCATTTTCAAAAGCCTCTCTCTGTACAGATTTTTTTCAATTTGCATGCATTTCATGCAATATGAATATATGACATAAATGCAAGTTAAAACCTAAAAAATATGTACAAAACCTATATATAAATCTTGGGCACAAAAATTAAGTTCATTTATCTTGGTTGTCCTTGCTGAAATGTTCCATATAATACGATACTACAAGAGTCTAT